ACCTACGGGGGATATCCAATATATAGGTCAACATGTAGGGCATCCACACAGAGAATATATACTACTATAAGGACTCCAAAGACATGTTAACACAATCGAGCGTCTAGCGCAATGGTGAAGATGGTCCATTCCTTGTTGTGGGTCCCGGGTTTGATTCCTAGGTCTCATGGTTTTTTTTAATTTGGATTTATTTAACCCCGGCGGCAGAGAAGGGTCCACAAGTGACACGCAAGCTAGTCCCACAGGTCGGATGAAGATGGGGAAAGGTCCCATATGTACACATGACACGTAAGCTGTCAGGTCCCATGGGTCGGCTGAAGAAGGGTCCACAAGTCGTCGGGTCCCACAGGTCGGATGGAGATGGAGAAGGGTCCTATAGGTACACATAACATGCAAGCCGTCGGGTCCCACAGGTTGGATGAAGATGGAGAAAGGTGCCATCGGGTCCCACAGGTCAGATAGAGAAGGGTCCACAAGCACAAGTGACACGCAAGCCGTTGGGTCCCACAGGTCGGATGGAGAAGGGCCCCACAGGTACACGTCGTATGGAGAAAGGATCAAGCGGAGACTCTTATGATGAATTGCAAGCGTCATGGATGAGTAACTACAGGTCCCATAGGTACACGTTGGATGGAGAAAGTACCGTGTGGAGGTCTATGACGAAGCGTCGTTCATTACAGATCGAATATTGTTCATCACAGATGTGTAATTAGTTCAATGACGAAGCCCTGTTCGTCACAGTATTAAAGAAGATCGTCATAGACAAGTTGCACGAGTGATCTATGACAAAACCCTATGCTCTTCTATGACGTTTCTTGTGACGATATCTGATTTCATCATAGATAGGGTGGGTTTGAGGATCGTCACCACTAATCTATGATGAAACAGAAATATTCATCATAAAAAGCGATCTTCTATGATAGTTTTGGAATCGTCATTAAGATATTCATCATAGAAGTGGATATTTCTATTAATGAATGTTTCTAGCAGATTCTTTGCAATATGATGCAAATATAAGATATTCTAAACGATTAGATTTAGAATCTTTGGTACGTGGATGTGAGGATTGCTCTTTTGATTCCTGGTATTCTTAATGTGGTATAAATCTCCCCCTAATGCCTAGAATTGTCCTCAAATGTGATCAACATACGGGCAATTTATAAATCCCCTGTAAAGTTACCTCTTGGGATCCCTAATGCCCATTGGTATGTTAGGGTGGTGATATGCGTATGTGAAAACATACTCGATGCACAGATGGAAAATGTTTGGCTGCGGCCAAAGTTTCACGTACATACTGCAACGGAGGGAGTTGTATAAGTGCAGCTTGATGAATTGGAATTAATGATACGGTGTGTAAGGCCGCATGAAAACAACTTAGTGTTGGTAAATTACAATTCAATTTTAATATGTCATGCAATTTAATTCTCAATAAGAGACTCATTCAAACCATTATTGGTATGGACATAAAGTACTTGATATATAGTACCCAAAAAACAAACAGTTCTATATAAAATGGATTTGATCCTACGTCAGGCTAATTTGCTCTAAATTGAAGATTTCGAGCAATGAGTTTGGTATAGTGATGGTTCTCATGACTAAGAGACACACCTAGGACAATATTATGGATGCATAAATGTGCAATACATAGTATCTTTATGGTCCATAAAATGGTAAATAGAGTCACATATATGTTCTTGAATTTCTTCAAGAAATTTAGTGGCTCATATTGATGCTATGACCAATGGAATTGACAATAATTCTCACGTTATCTCTTTAGTTGAATAACCAAGGCAAATGTGTCAAGTCTTGTTGACATCAAGAGAGAATTATTTGTACGCAACATTGGATACATGTTATGTATGTGTAGTCAAATCCAACTGAGGATGTTTTGTTTAAGTATTGTCATATCCGTTGTTAAGAGAAAATACTTCTCATAGTTGTCATCTTGGGTTTCCATATGAAAACCACATTGATGGATATTTCTATAATTTTAAATGGGTATATTATGGAATCAGAATACAAGAATGGATTCATGATTATTATTTGAGTACCAATAGGGAGTATGATAGTAACACAACCAAACCCACTATCATGACATCGCGTCAAGCGATTAACAAAATATTTCCTTGTCTCTATGTAAGAGTTCAGGAATATTTTGCTTCCCTGTGTATAGAGTTTGTGGTGCAACTATCCACTAGGCAAAATTCCTCTTTGCATTTGGATTGACTCCCGTATAAGTCTATATATAGCATGAAGAATATAATGACATTCTTTGCAAATATATAGATTACATACAAGTTAATTAATGGAATATCAAATGTGATGGCACATTATTGTGATATTCAATTGAAATTGATGACAACATTTTATATTATAACACCAAAATGAGACGTAGATACTAGGTATCTTTGTAAATAGAAGACAAATTTTGGTCTCCAAAATGGATCAAGCGAAGTAAATTCGATGATCGTGCTCTCCATGCTCATAAGACCCACTTAGTAATTAAGTGTTTGGTTGCTACTTGGTTTTTTTTCATGAAACTTGTTGTGAACAACTGGCCTTCCTGGTGGTGTCAGGTTGAAGAAAGAAGCGCGCTTCATATCCTTATTGTTGAGCTGGATATTTATGTCCAATGAATTTATAATACCAATCAATTAAATGTTTCAAGGCATGACATTTTCATGTTGTGTGGCTGTAACATACATAATTAGGACAAAATATGGTTCTGTCATATTTAGGAAATGCCTTGACCCTAAGGAATGCACGGGGCTGCTACTTCTTTTTGCGTTAAATCTTACCATTAAAGTTCTTTGGATGGCATTATTATATGGCATCAAACTTGTTATGATTCTAAAAATTCAATGTACTTCAGATGATAGAGCATCACTATAATGCTAATGATGATTCCTCAATAAGAGTTTATCATGCACTTAGACCTGAAGCAATGTAGGAATTAATCTAGAATACATTTGGTAAGTTGTGTGCTTTCGCGAAAACGCAATGTGGGGGGATTTGGAACAACATAATTGTATTCTCAAGTGGACTTGAAATCCTAGAGATAAAGTTATGGCCAATCATAGATGGCATTGGCCATAATGACTGCCTTGTGTTGTCCATATCAATGATTGAGAGCTAGCCATATAGTGCTTCGATTTGCATCCATTGAGATACACATATGTATGATCTGGATGTGTACGGTGCTTTATTTAAATAAAATTCCATATTTAAATTGATCATAAGTGGTGATGCTCTCTTACGAGAGCATCAAATACTGCTATGAATCCATAAACATCAAAGTTTAACAGTACGTCCATTGACCTTGTTGGATAATGGTAACCATCAAGAGCGAGAGATCAAACTTTTTCGTGGCCATTACTCCAACTAAGTGCAAACCATAGATTTTCTGCATGTACGCTAAGGGTAAATTAAAATTGCTATGGTAGTATTGTATTTAGTTAATGCAAAATAACTAGAAGACAAGATCGATCTCACTAATGGTGTAAACCTCATATTTATGCAAACACTTTGGAGGTAGTCATCGTAAAGATGTAGACCCCTAATAATATGGACATCATTTGTATGTAAGCAGATGCCAAATAGTGTATGCAGTTTTGTGTAAACACATTTTAAGGTAATCATTAAAAAGTTGATGTAGACCTTAGTTAATCCTTACTCGCAATTGAATCGCACTCTTGCAAGCACAAGTGAGTTAGAGGGCATCCAAGCATTCCTACACAAAGCCACCAAGGCGTGAGGGTGCTCAGCAACCAGCCCAAAGCCAGCCAATGCTTGGTTTTATAGCCTCCAAGAAATTATAGCCGTTATGCCCTCGGAGAGGTCTGGACCAAGGCTCCGGAACCATGGTCCCGAACCCTCCCTATCAATGACGAAATCAGATATCGTCACAAGAAACGTCATATAAGAGTTGTTCCTTTTATTGATCTCTGAAATATATTTATACAAGCGAAGGGGTGTCACGAAGGGACACGACTGTTCCCAAAAGACATGCCCTTTGGAATTAAAACTAACTGTCTAATCATATCCACTAATCATGTGCTTGATGGATGAGATCACTCGTGAAGAGACGCATTTCATCTGTAGACGACCGTTCGTGTATAGGTGTTATTTCACAACTGTGTTCATCCAAGTTGTACCCGATAAAAAAAATGTATTCTCTTACATCCCATTTCTCAATTTCTGTTTTGCAGTAGTTGTATTCTCTTACATCCCATTTCTTAATTTCTGTTCTCAATTCATACTTCTTAGCAGTAATTGTAGTCTCTTACATTCCATTTCTCCATTTCTGTTCTCAGTTCATACTTCTTAGCAGTTAAAATACAGACGCAAATAGTTTAACGTACTTTCCTGCTCTCTACGTACAAGTCGTTCAGACTTTCTAGACTTCTATAGGCACATGATAATTAACTGATTTTCCAGCTCATTCTACGTAGAAGTTGTTCAGACTTTCTAGACTTCTAGAGACACAAGCACTAGCGGTGTGTCGCCATGGATGGTCTCTCGTTAGGGGCAAAGCAGGATTAGCAGCTATTCTGTCATTGATCCATAAACGCGCACAACCTAAGAGACTTGGAAACAAAATGAATTGCACAAAACACCAATCTTCACAGATCACACTGCACACACACGCATAGGTGCGCCTGAGTGTCTGACAGTGCTTCCATTGACCTATGTAATAAAGAAGTTGAGAAGCAAGTAGTTTGTTTTGAATCACTGGAATCTGCGCAGAGAACTTTGCTGTTTAGCATCTTACTCATCAAAACAAATTGTATCCTCATCAGATGAATTAGTAAGGCCTACAATACAATAATGTCACAGCTTGTTTACACCGACCGAAGCTCAAACCAGTAATCCCCACCAGGACCCTTCCCTCTTGTGATGGTGATGTATCCATGTCCACTCAGTCTATCCATCATCAGAATACAATGCGGAGGCCAAATATCCATCATCAGAAGAAAGAAACTAGGTACCATGGATTTCCATCACTCGGCCGCTGTGTTTGATTCTTCCATTTGGGCATCTCCAGGGAGGCCAAATATCCGTAGATTGCGGTCCATAGAACCTACGGCTATGTACTTAGCATCTGCTCCGAACTCTACGGAGGTTACTTTCCCTGTGGAAGGACAAATGTCATAACACCGCGTCAATGTGTGCTCCAAGAACTAACGAATGGCACCAAGAGACTGACAAAAAGAGGGGCATACCTGTTCCTGATAAATCAGGTAATGTCTTGATAAGATTCCATTCGCTCTTAACATTTGCTACTTGGTAGACCCTAAGAGACAATCAGGAGTCTTTCAGCTTTACAATATAATGTGACCATCACTATTAGGAGGGATCATTCTTATGAAACGCAGAAACTTTATGCTAGGTATATATAATACTGAGTACATCAATGGAAGATTTGTTGACTTATATATGGACCAAGGAGTTCATATTTTTATGCAACATAAATATTATGGTGCAGATACAAGAAAATGGTTTGCATTGTCTATCAAGTTTACAACTGCCAGACAGGAACCAATCAATGATGCATGTTGCTTTGTTAATCGACACAAGGAACAGTAGCATTTCAAACATCTCTTGTCGAATAAGCAAAATTATACTACACACCAAAAGCAAAAAATTGGAAGTAACACCATTTAAACAAATAATTTGAAACAGGATAGTTGAAACAAATGCAGTGCAGCAAACATCTAACAATGCTCAGAGAAGTGATCACTAATCAAGTAACCCAGCATGCAAAGTGGAGGTCTATATACCCTGTCTAGATTACACATAGGAATCCCCGACAACATTGCCAGGAAATTCTTGAACTCTCAAATACAAGTAATTACAAGTTACTAGAGCATACCTTATATCTGAACCACCAATGGCAAGATAGTTTCCGCTAAAATCAAATTCCACTGCAGGAAAAAAAATGTCATGCATCATATGATTAAACTCACTCTTAAGAACCAAAAAAAACAGTTAACAAGAGAACAAATAAATTATACAGGAAGCAGATCCAAACAAAAGAACAATATAGTATCAAGGCAACAAGTCGATAGTGGATTTCATAAATCAAATGACCCTCTCCAGATAGCTCTAATTATACATATGCAAATGCAAGCATGTGCACCATTCTTGCTGTTCACAGCCAAGTTACTTACCAGTATTGGTTGGCGTGTCCGAATCATAGGGAGAGAAGGTCCTAAAATTTCTTAATTTCCGAAGATCCCAAAGCTTGACACCATCATGAGCAGCAGTCTGCAAAGTGATGGCAAATATTAGAAACTAAATAAATTTAACATTGTCCACATAGCTTTTATCTAAATTACCTACCGCTAGGAAGTAACCATTTTCAGAGAAAGACATAGCAGTGACTGGTCCGACATGCCCCTCAAACTTTGCGACATTTGACTACAGATAGAAATGTCATTATCAGATATGTTTCAAGAGCATGATCACCTAAAACAATCTTGAATAAAGTGATACCATAGTACCAAATCACACCTGAGTCTTCACATCCCAAATTTTAACAATAGCATCAGTAGTTCCAGTTCCAAGGATAAGACCATCTGGATGGAAAGCCGCGGATGTATATCCTTCTTGTCCTGAAGCCTCGCCAACCTGATAAAAATAATCATGCACATTGGTATGCATACTCATGTGTAGTAAGAATATGTGTGCATGTGTGTAGGGAGGTAACCTGTGTCAGGCAAGATCCTGTTGACATATCATAGAAGCACCACGAGTTATCCTTGGAAGCACTCACAAAATACTTCTGAGTTGCATGTACTGTAACAGCTTCAACCTAAGAGATTACAAAAAGAAAATTAGGCTTTTTAATAACAAGACTACTAATAGTTAAGACAGTAGGCACTAAGCGCTGCTATATTACAAAAGTACGGAAGATGAACAAGATAGGGAGCATTTCACATTTCTGTAATTAATAACAGCACACACGAATGAGCCAAAACAGTTGAGTGCAACAACCAAGAATATTTGGTGAAAAAAAAAGATATTTATACTTTTTGATAGAAGCATACTACAGGCATCCATCAGAAAATATTTTGCAAATTTATTTTACAATATAAATTCCACCTCTGATAATTTATTCTTACATAAGAAAGGATCCAATTATTAAACATACAAAGTAATAAAAGTATATTTGTAAGCCATACGAATGGAATCTGAATGCAAAGGAATATATATATATATATATATATATATATATATATATATATATATATATATATATATATATATATGCATAACATACTAATAGCTGTCTGGGCAAACCATTCGTCTAAAGATAGGAAAATACGTAGAATTAAGAATGCAAGCGTTATAGAATCCTGGCCGCCAAAATACTAACCTCAGCAGTATGGTCTTTCAATGTATGGACGCAGTTATAGCTTCCATTCTCATTCTCTTGCCAAATGCGAACAGTCTGCAACGTTTGCAAATAAATCAGTAATGTAATTACTATGACCTATTATTCCAGTGGTTACTTAAACTTATGGTAAATGGGAATTGCCTTATCTGCTGATCCAGTTACAAAGAGTTGATCCCGTGGAACAAACTTCAAAGTGGTTATCTGTGTAATGGAGAGTTACAATGTTACAACTTGCTGGAAATTATAGAAGGGCAGACCCAGTGCCGGAGGCTTCCACTCCCACATGAGTAGGGTCTGGGGAAGGGAAAAACCGAGGCAAGCCTTCCCCCCGCAAATCTGCGGAGAGGCTGCTTCGAACCCACGACCTGGTGACTCAGTGAGACAGCTCTCACCACTACACCAGGCCTGCCCTTCCGCTGGAAATTATAGAAGATAGAACAAAATTCAAAATCACATGGGGAAATACCTTCTTCGAGTGACCAGTAAGCGTGCACAAGATTTGACCAGATGCCCGATCAAAGAGTACTGCATTTGTATCGATACCCCCAGTTGCAACAATGTCCTGTAAATCCATGACAAGAACAAGGCAACTGGATAAATAGAATGAAATTCTACATCAATTTAACTTCACTAAAGTTGAAATAAACAAGGTTCTCGTCAAAGCTACAACTACATCAATAATCATGATGCATTAATGATAACTGAAAACTTGTGAATATGATTTGGTAGAAGTCAATATTTTCTGAGAAGGCTCTTGCATCAAGAACAATTCACTGGTTTTCCTGTTCAGACTTCAGATATATAACATCCAGGCAAATTACACTTGAAATGAACACAAATCATCCTTAACCGCTTAAAGCTAATTATGCCAGCTAAAACAAGGATTCTGAAGCATATAAACAGTCAAGTGTGGGACGCTAATTTGTCCATGATTAAAATGCATCACCGCCAGATATAAGCGATCAATTTATGTGCCATTACAGCAAAGAGATATACAATATCCAAACACATAGTAACAAACTAACCTTTGAAGGATGAACATCCATGGACAAAATGCCTGGTTTGTTTGTCTTATGAAGGGGATGGCTGGAGATTTGAGTGTATCCCTTGAGTGCATCGATCGGTGCCAGAGTTGGAGGAACCTGAGAGAAAACAGAAGCAATTACTCCGTGTAACTAACTCAACAACATGCAACTAATGCTTAAACGACAGTTGAAGGATATGGAACTAGCTTGTTAACATGTAATCTACAGTCAAAATAACTTTATGCGTGACAAGCTCATGAAGCAAGCTAACTCTAGAGAATTCAGTTTTTTTATAAAGTACAGCTACACAGTTAATGTTTTAGACCTTATTTTAACTTTTAATGCTGAATATGGAGCACAACACATACCTGTCTTTTCTTACGCTGTGCTGAAAGAATGGTATTACACTCTGTAAGTTCATCAATCATGACAGGGTTGATACCAGGACGAATCTTCTTCCCGTCAGGGTCAATTTCATCTTCCATTGCTGTATCAAACAAAGATGAATTATGAGATACCTAAAACTTGAAATATCAATTTAGATGCAGAACATCAAACAGCTGGTACCACTTTTTCCATTGGAAACAACAGCTGCAGGAGCAGCTCCTGCAACTGATGCAGGAATTTGTCTCTCAGCTTGAGCCAAAAGTGCTCTAGCCTCATCCCTTTCCTTCTTTAATCTAGCTATAACACGGCAGGCAGCGTCATGCTGGAAAAGACAAAAAGCAAAGTAAACAAATCAGTTGCCAGATAATCCTCTTTCTTTCTATTTTTCAAAAAAAAAAGTACAACCGAAATATACCAAGGATACAAAAGGTTTATGCGATCTCTAGGCGGTGACCCGCCGCCTAGAGCCTAGGCACGCCTAGGCATTCCATGGCCATACATATTACATCTAAAAGTCTAAAAAGAAAAGAAAAAACAGGATACCAGTGGGCCAAGAGTTAGATATAAAGGCCCATGAAAGCAGCCGAAGCCCAAGTCTGAAGAGCAAGCCTTATCCCTACCCTCCCCTCACACCTTATCCATTTGCTGCTCCCAGCTCTGCACAGAGTCGCAACTGTCAGCGGCGCCACCACCTTCCGTCCCCATCTCTGCCGCCCGACATCCAGTCCGTGCCTCCCCCGCCACGACCTCCTCCGCCACCGCCGCACCCAGTCCCTGCCTCCCCCACGTTGCCTGCCACCCCCAGTCCTTGCCTAATCCACCCACTGTCCCCTCTTCTCCACAGCCGCTCGACATACCCACCTCCTCTGACATCGCCTGAAGTCCCATACTCCCTCACACGTACCTCCCTGGGTGGATCTAAACGTAGCGGCCACCGAGGGTGGCATGTCGGGCTGCCAACACGCAGGAACGGTCTAGAGTACCGCCACCCCCCCAACCACCACACACACAAGGTTCCATGGTACCCCCACGCCCATCACATAAGCGGAGAGCGCAGAATAGCGCCTTTTGGAACATTGAAAGATATCATTTAGTTGAGAAAGACTTCTATAACATCTGGTCTTTAAATACAGCAGAAAATTCTATCAGTAATAAGAAAGTGGGCATATAAAGGAAAAAGTATCACTATAATTTCATCATATTTAGGGCATGTTTGGATACACATGACTAGTTACTAGTTGGAGCTAAAAATTAGCAATGAGCTATGGTTGGCTAACAACTAGTTGAAGACTTGACTTAAAAATTAACCCACCTATTAGCTCCTGTTTGGATGCACTAGAGCTAATTTTGGCTAATTTTTAGCTAGCTAGCAATTAGCCCATGTATCCAAACATGCCCTTCAAGGAAAAATGCATTCTAGCAGAAACAACCAGTCAGAGTAAGTGTAGAGAGATAATGCACCGCACACCCAATAAGGGGGGGTGGCCTTTCATATATATAGCCGAGAAGGCTTGGAGTACAAGTATATGAAGTACAATACAAGTCAGGCTATACATATCTATTTATATCTCTAATACCCGCCCGCAGTCGCAGCGGGATGATCTCGGACGCAAAGACTGGACCTAAAATCAGTAAACAACTGTACAGGCAAGCCTTTGGTCATAATGTCCGCGAACTAGTGGGATGAAGGGACATGGAGGACTCGAACCTGTCCTAGAGCAACCTTGTCGCGAACAAAATGAATGTCAATCTCGATATGCTTCGTGCGGCAATGATGAACAGGGTTACCCGTCATGTAGATCGTGACCGACATTGTCTGAAGATACAATCGTCGCCAAGTAAGAGGAGTGTGAAGCTCTCAAGCGGTGACGAAGCCAACAAGTCTCAAAGAATAAAGATGGGCGACAAAGACGGTATTGACTTCCGCTACTGAACGAGAAAGCGTAGTCTGTCGTTTGGAGGACCAAGACACCGCGATTGTCACCAAGAAAGACACGAAGATCCAGACGAGACCGCCGAGAATCGGGACACCGGCCCAATCAACATCCGAGTATCTTGTGAGAGTGTCAAGAGACCCGCATCGAGGTGAAGACAGAGAGCAGTGTGCCCTTGACGATCGCAAAATCGCTGAGCAAGCGGCGCGGATGAGGTTCACGGAGAATGCATAAAGAGACAGACTCTTTGAATCGCATAGGCAATGTCGAACGAGTCAATGTGAGGTATCAGTAAACCGCCGGCGAGACTCGATATTGTGTTGGATCGGCAATCGGTGAGCCATCGGTGGCGCATAGTTTTGGCGCGATGCATCGATCAGGGGTGGTTGAGAGTGACACTCAATCATACCGGCCATTTGGAGAAGATCAATCGACATCGCCATTGTGATGAGAAAAGGCCGTGCAGAACGAGTGATGAAATCCCGAGGAAGTGATGAAGGTCCCCGAGATCGACCATGGCGAACTCGAAAGTTAAGGCGCTTCGATAATATATCGAAGAAGAAGAGCAAGCGAGGATGTTGTGAGGACAATGTCGTCAACGTAAAAGCAACAGTAAGCAACACTGGTGCCTCCTTGAACACAAAAAGAGAAGTATCGACATCGAAGCGACGAAGCCCAAGGTCCGAATGAAGGTAGCGAATCATTTGGTGCCATGCCCGGGGTGCCTGCTTGAGCCCATACAAAGATTTCTGTAACAAGCAGACATGGTGGTGCGGTAAGGTCGACGAATCCGTGTGTGGTCTTTGGCGATGAAATGATCTCATTCAGGTGACCATGAAGAAAGGCGTTCTTGACATCCAACTAATGAATTGGCCAGGCACGAGACGCAGCAATGCTAAGAACAACCCGAATCATTGCTTGCTTAACAACTGGACTGAAGGTCTCTTCGTAGTCGATGCCATACTGCTGAGAAAATCCTCGAACAACCCACCGAGCTTTGTGACGAGCAAGAGAGCCATCAGAGTGATGCTTGAAAATCCACTTGCCGGAGACAATGTTGGCACGAGGAGGCCGTGGTACGAGTCGCCAAGTGCCATTGTCAACAAGTGCCTTGTATTCGTCCACCATTGCGGCCCGCCAATTTGGATCAGCAAGGGCGCTGCGATAATTGGCAGGAAGTGGTGAGGCATGCGTGGCAGAGTAAGTCAGGCGTTCCGGCGGAGGCGGGAGCGTTCCAGTCTGTTGCCATGTCACACGGCGCAATGGAGCAGCAGGGACCGGCTCAGGTACGTGAGCCGGCTGAGGCGCCGGTGGAGGAGCCGGTGGAGGAGGCGTGACCTGTGCCTGGGGCAGCCGCAGACGTGCTGCTCCCTTAACAGCAGGCAGGACGTCAGCAGCAGAGGACGCGCCAGGGGCTGCCAGTGTAGGGGCAGCAGGACCCTGAAGGACCGGACCGTGCCAGAGGATGGCCGGGTCCAGTGCCAGGGTGTCGTCGTCGTCGAAGGTCGGCCGAGTAGAGAGCCGGTCCGGGCGCCCGGCAGAGAGGAGTCGCACAAGTCGCGTGAAGACGATCTGTAATAAAAATCAAGTGACTCCGTAGGTGGTTTGGCAACCGCAAACGGAAAGCGAGTCTCATCAAAAATCACGTGACGGGAGACGACGACTTTGCGAGTGGAGAGATCGAGACAACGATAACCCTTTTGTGAAGAGGGATACCCGATGAACACGCAAGCTGATGAGCGAGGAGCTAATTTATGAGGTGTCGTGGCACTAAGATTTGGGTAGCATAAGCAACCAAAGACTCGAAGCAAGGAGTAGTCAGGCATCTTGTGATAAAGGAGGTGATAGGGAATACCATTATTGATGGAGGAAGACGGTCGCCGATTGAGTAGAAGAACGGCGGTGGCTAAGGCTTCGGCCCAGTAAGCTGAAGGCATGGCGGCATGAATCAAGAGGGTGCGAACGATATTGTTGAGCGTGCGCAATATCCGTTCAGCTTTCCCATTTTGAGCGAGGCGATGTAAGGGCAAGAAGTGCGAAGAAGAATGCCGCTGGCTAGCAAGGAAGGTAGACGTGGCATTGTTGATGAACTTCGAAGGTGCGTTATCCGCCGAAAAACACCGGAAAGCAAAGCTGAATTGGGTGTAAGCATAATTAGTAAAATCAACAATATGTGCATGAACCTCGATTTTTTGCGAAGAGGAAACGCCCAAAGAATAATAATGACTATAATCATCAACAAGCACAAGATAATATTTAAATCCGGACACGCTAAGAAGCGGAGACGCCCAGACATCACAATGAACAAGTTGAAAAGGTCTTTGAGCAATGAGACGATGAACTAGTAAAGGGCAGCCGTGTGTGTTTGCCAAGTTGACAGGCGTGACAAATACCACGGGCTGCATTATTACAAGAGATAGCTGAAAGTTTATTAAGTGTAGCTATGGCTGCAGGTGCTGGATGACCAAGACGTGAATGCCGCAATGAGGAGATGGCGGTGACATGACAGGCTCCAGCAGGCTGACTGGAATGTGGAAGGGTGTACAGCTCCCCGCCACTATTGCAACGCAGAATCTCGGTCTTGGTCTGCAGATCCTTAACAGAGAAGCCAAAAGCATCAAACTCAATGGAGCAGTTATTGTCGCGAGTAAACTGACGAACAGATAACAAATTTCGAACAAGATGTGGAGCAACAAGAACATTATTGAGTTGAAAAATATGATCAGCTATAGGAAGAATGGAAGTGCCACGACTAGAAATTAAAATGGAGGACCCATTGCCGACTGTGATGAAGGACGGCGAATGAGGTAGATGGGAAAGAAGTATACCGTCGTGGGGGGACATATGAGATGTAGCTCCTGTGTCGAGGACCCAGGGGCTGGCGCCTCCCTGCAGTGCCATCTGGTTGAGGGAGGCAATGAGAGCGCCCTGATCCCAGCTACCGGACGTAGAAGGCGGTGCGAAGGACGTGTGGGCCTGCGGCAGAGGTGCCATTGGAGGACGCCACTGCGGCTGAGGAGCCCATGGAGAAGGACCAGCCCACGGGTTCATGCAGACCCAAGGACCAGTCGGCTGGACGCCGGGGCCGGGATGCCCGCCCAGGAGGCCCGGAGACGCCGCTGGTGGCTGCTGGTGGCGGCTGCCACCGCCGTTGTTGCCTCCACACGCACCATAGCCGCCCTTGCCCTTGCCCTTGCCCTTGCCGCCGCCTCCACGCCGCACCATGCATAGCGCCGCCGTTGGGGTTGGTCTTGGGAGGACGAGGAGCGGCAGGAAGGAAAGAAGCGGCGTGTCGGTCAAGTCGTGGACGGGCGGCGGCGAAAGAAGGGCGGTGTCGGAGGAGACTTTGGCGTCGTTGGCGAGGCGGATCTCCTTGAGCCGAAGGGTGTTGTGTGCGGAGATGAACGACGGAAGGACCGCCGCATTGGCGATGATGTCCGCCGTGTTGGTGAAGCGCGGATTGAGGCCGCGAAGAAGGTTGCGGACCAGCTGGGGCTCGGAGACGATGTGGCCAACGTCGCGGAGAGCGTCGGCCGTGTGCTTGGCGCGCCGGACGAGGCGTCGATGGACAAATCACCACGGGTCGAGTGGAACTCTTGACCTAGGATTTACGCGCGTGTCTCTGGTTTGCTCAAGCAGATTGGTAATGGCAACAAAGAGATCAGGCGATGCTTTCGAGTTCCATGGCGAGGTCGAGGGCCGCTGGCGCCGTCGATGCGACCATACATCAACTCCGGACGCAAGCGCCCTGGTCCGTGACCATGTGCGATCGATAGGGACGTGCCGGGATGGAGCCGTCGATGTGGCCAAGTAGATCGAACTTGCCGCACATGGCGGTGAAGAAAGCGAACCACTTGGTGTAGTTTGACTTGAGATCAGGGTGATCGGCACGTCTTTGGCGCACGTTGATGGTCGCGTAGGAGAAGATCAGACAGGGCGGGGCATCGTCATGGGCCGGCATGGATGGGGATCCAGAGATCCCGGAGGTCGCGGTCGAGGAGGATCCATTGGTGGCCATAACAGGGGGGGGCGGCGCCGGGAGAGGTAGGGCTAGGGCAGCGGAAGAGAGGAACCCTAATTTGCCCGGTCTATGATACCATGTAGAGAGATAATGCACCGCACACCCAATAAGGGGGGGTGGCCTTTCATATATATAGCCAAGAAGGCTTGGAGTACAAGTATATGAAGTACAATACAAGTCAGGCTATACATATCTATTTATATCTCTAATAGTAAGCTTTGGGCTCGTGGCAATGTTCAAAACTACACTTTTTTCATCAACAGAGGGACGAGCTTTTACTATCCAAAATATAAATTACAATTTGGAGTTACCAATCCGGATTCAAAAAAGTCATTTTAGAACAAGCCAGGAAACATAGTTCAGCTACCAAATGACTCGGCATCGTAGCACACCTAATGTTACAATGAGAACTTAAGGAGGGATACTCAGAATGCTCAAGTGAAGTGGTATATTCAACCTGAATCTATCATTCTCCAGCTACAAAGGTATGGACTATGGAGAAGCTCGAATACAAACCCTTGATATACCGAAATCCAAAATTGAAGACTTTAGCTATGCTATATAAAACCAAAAATTGATAAATTGTTCCAAGCAAATTGTAATATAACTTAAACAGGATACAGAGATATGCAAAGGTGAATGGAAGACCTGGTAGAGCGCATGACTAAGTTCTTGTCTTGCTGTGTGAAGCTGCTGCTCCAAAGCAAAATTAGAAAGCATGAGAGCATCCCACTCCTGCAAAATTCAGGAAAAACAAGTTCTGATAAGAGCTAGAGAATCATGATTCAAAACTTTGGACAGGCCACAATAAAAATGATATGGATGACAGAGATATTAAGTACCATGATGATTCAATGCATTCATAGAAGCAAGAACCATCAAAGTATTTCAATTGTATTCTTCAACATGATGACTCAATGCATTCATAGAAGCAAGAACCATCAAAGTATTTCAATTGTATTCTTCAAATAAGGTCAACTGTCAGATTCGTTTTCAAATCTAACACCCAGTGCAACCAAAAGTGGAAAACAGACTTGAGACACAAGGCCCTTAAATCGCCTTAGGAACAAGGCGCAAAAAATGCACACGCCGCTTTACGCTTAAGCCCAAAAAGGCACATGCCTGAGCAAGTGCGATGCGGCCAGAGTGGCTTCAGACAGTTATGCTGTTTGGCACACGCTTTTTGCCCTTTTACCTACCTCGATAACACCACACTTAACAAAAACAATCGAAGAAAGGTTCTCAACACCTCATAATCAAATTTTAGATATTCTAAAATACGCTCAGAAAAGATAACTGGCAAAAGGTTGGAACCTCTTACGTTCTGAAAAATCCCAAGGAGTCCTGGAATGCTTGCAGCCTGCAAAGGCCTGGGCTTCACGACCTGCAAAGAATGGAGTTCTTCAAGAGTTTTGGCAGATTGGGACAGCAGTAATAAAATACTTTAGGTGTGCATGAGATTATCGGGGTAATTAATGAGTATAGGACAAATGTCGTTGTCCTAATCAGATACACTAATCGATGTTGATGCAAAAGTACAAGCGCAGTGCACAAAATCAAATACCACCGTTGATTCAAAAAATATATATTAATTTAGTTCTTGAAACTTCAGTATAGCAATCTAACGTTTTAACTTAAGGGCGAAAGCACAAAATCGGGTGAAGTTATTTCATAAATTTCATAAGTTCAGGTTTTTAGAAAGAATTTTGCATTGCATATAGCAAAAGAACTACAACTTGAGCATATGTCCTTTTCAGCTACTGGATAGGTTGTTCTAACATCATGGGAAAAGAAAACACAAAAGAACCTAAAATGGATCTAGGATTGACAATGTATATATTCTTATAGTCTCCTAAGAAGGTAAACTAAAACCCTACAACAACAACAACAAAACCTACATCACTTTTTTCCACCTATATCTGGACAGTAGTGAAAACACTGCCCAACCAATGAAAATATCGATAGACAAAAGATTATGCAGCGGCGACAAATTGATCCCTAAACTCACAACCTTTTATGTGATTTCTTTTAGACAAAAGATTATGCAGTGGCTACAAATTGATCCCCTAACATCATAATCTTTATGTGCTTTCTTTTCAATTTTAGATGCATGGTGGCTTTTACCTACTTACAAGCAGTGTATAGTATGCTGATGTGATTACTTCAATGAGTATTATTGTGCAATTTGGTTTCCTCATATGATGACAAGGGATCTCCTCGCCACCTTGCTCAAGAAGTATTGAGAGCAACCACACGAGACACAAATTGGTTAGTGATACTAATCTCCTCGCCACCTCCCTCAAGTAGTATGGAGAGCAACATTACGAGACACAAAATGGCTACTGCTACTCTACAGTCCACACCACATGCTACTGAAAACTTTGTTGCAACAGCTTGTTAGTGGCATACCAGAGAAGCCATACCTTGTTGGTCTTGACCGGCACGATATCATCCATGGTGAGGTCCTCCTTGGTGACGGGACACTTGCCATGGTCCTGCAATGTCGTGGGCATCGCCATCACGACAAGAATTTAGCATATACATTTTTCCCAATAAAAAATTCGCAGCGCGAGATCTGAGACCGAGCTACGGACCTCAACGTAGCGCTCGATGAGACGCCGCTCGAAGAGGAGCCCCGACTTCTTCGACACCACCGGCTCGTCCGGCACCTCGCCGGAGACTACGGGAGAAGCGACACGGGACGGGTTAGCTCGCGAAGCGACGGATCAGAGAAAGCTAGGGTTAGGAGACCAGAGATGCGAGGCAGGGAGAGAGGGGCATTACTCGCGCAGATCATGGCGGCGGGCGGGGAGGGGCGAAGGTCCGCGGCGCCGCGAGCAGCGTCCCGGGCGGCGACGTCCTCGGCGGATACCGGGTGGCTGCGCCGGCGGCGGCGGGACGGGAGCAGGCGGACGGCGGGACGGAGCAAAGGTTTTGCCGCTAGGGTTCTAATTCGAGTGGAGTGGGAAAAAATTTTGTCATCCGGGGTTCTTTTCCGTTTTAGCCCCTCTTCGTTGGCGCCGGTGCTGCGATGGCGGTGCTTGCAGACAATTGCATGCATGCCCTTGAGAATTTCGCGGTGCCTGCTGCAGTGCGCAGGTGGGTGCAATGGGCTTCGTAGGCCTCGTATGCTGTGGGCCCAGAGATGAGCTGTAAGGTCAGCCCAACTCTTGGTGGACAAAACCACTGGTGGCCCGTTGAAAACTTTCCAGCCCATGTAGTCCCTTGGGTTCCTGGCACTGGACTTCTGGGAGGTTCCTGGTTCCGTAGAGATAAGAGACGACGGCCCTCCCAGCAGAATCGCAGCAGTTTCTCAAAAAAAAAAAAAAAAATCGCAGCACCGCCGCCGCGTCGTGATTTGGCAGTTGGCAGCGTGGTGACCAGAGGCCGGCAAACGCGAACCAAGATGCCACGCCACCTAGCATCTGTCCCTATGTATTCTAGCGGTCTACTCCATAGTCATATCGTGTGTCTAACTCGCGCCTGCCATGCCATCGTAGACTTCGGCAGGGCAAAACCCTTCTCCCTAACCACATTCTCATTGCTAACTGTGACTTTTTTCCGAAATTCCGGGTACTTGAGCATAATTGTTACCCGCACCGGCGGGGCGATTTGCATAAATGGGGCTCGAAACATCGGTCGTTTGTAGATTTAACACTAGACCCACATTCATAGACACAGATGGACCCACTTGTTATCCACCCGAGTGTCATCGTAATCGAGGAGTCAATGTTTCGAGTGTCAATTTTGCAATTTTTTCCACCGGCGGAGGATCCCCGGTGACATCGCCCCCAAGACCGGAGCTATAGGCCCGCGCGTATTAGTAGACCGTCCCGCAAATCGACACCTGCATGGTGCATGGCACGGGATCACTCTGGCGCACATCGAAGCAACCTGCTGTCCCGTCGCTCGCCGACTCGCGCGACCTGATCCGAGATGTACAGCGCGAGAGTGCATCCACCGCGGCTCGTGGCCCGCGATTCCGGGCTGCTATGGACGTTTGACTCCAAAGCCGACGCCCACACACGCGCTAAATGCACGCCGTGAAGCGATGCTAGAGCGAGAACCCAAAACGGAATCGATAATACAGGCTCACGGGCGTCCGTTCAGGCATGTTCCGTCTGGACATCTCATTCCTGGGTCTGCTCAATAATTGGGTTCAACGAGCCTCCTCCGCTCCATCTTCAACGCGGTTTCTTCAAGAAAAACACAACGACATTTTCTTTCTCCACTGCCATATGCATGCGACCGTCGTGGGTGCATCCACCGTGCCGTTCGCCCGCCGCTGGCCTTCTCCAGCCTCGCTGCTATCGCACGCCCATCTTGTGCTGCTCGCTCCTACCCATCATGCTCGCCCATCCCGAACCACTCGCTCCCGCCCATCACGCGCGCCGCCCGCCTGGCCGAGCCAAGCCTAGTGCTACTAGCGATGGTGATAGTGGTGGTGGGGCTTGCGCGGCGCCGGCTCTGATCGCCGACGGCTAGAATTGCTCGACCCCAGGCTCCCCCATGTTGCAAGCACATGTTTCAAGTGTTTCATGTGTTTTGTAGGTATGTTTCAAGTGTTTCAGACAGATGTTGTAAAAGTAGATCGAAATATTGCATATATTGCAATGATTGTACACGTATGTTGTAAGTGTCTATTCCTAATATTTTATCTATTTTTTAGGCGTATATTGTAAGTGTGTTTATCTAGATGTTTCATATGTCTCATACGTATATTGCAAGTATTTTATCTGGATGTTGCATATGTTTGCATTTGTTTTCCAAGTGTTTTTGCACGTGTTTCAGGCGCATATTTCGAATGTTTCAGCTGTTTTGTACGTATGTTGCAATTGTTTAATTTGAATGTTTTAAAAGTAGATCGTGGTGTTGTACATATTGCAATGTGAGCCACTTGTCGTAGCCGCCTGCTGCAGCTATTGGGACGCCATGTATGGAGGGGGGCGGCGCAGCAAGCGTGGAGGGGTGCGCAAAGCAGGGAAGCGTGGGGGAGTGGCGCAAGCAGGCCTCGCTTATGCATGCAGCAGGCGCTGGCGCGGGCGTCCGAGCACTAGTGCTGCCGAAACGGAATCTGTCCTCCCTGACCATTTGGTTTGTTCTGGAACGTAAAACGCTTAACTATTTGTTTACTTTGTTTGATTAATTAATACTAGTATGTTGATATTAATGATATATACATCTTGTGTCCCAAATTATAGGTTGTTTTGCGTTTTTCTAGGTACTTGCTATGCATCTAGTTATATTATGTATCTAGAAAAATCAAAACAACCTGTAAAGTAGAATGGAGGAAGTAATAAATAGATCTAAGTATTTTGCGGGTCGGCCCAGGCCGAAAAAAAGTCCCGTTATTTCAGGCCAAAAAAGTCCCGCCCATGAGCGTCCATTGGGCAAGTCGAGCCTAATTTTTCGGGCCAAGCTCGGGCTTGGGCGAGCGCTGCCCACGCATTTTATAATGTAAAATAGCTAAAAATAGCATTTCGGGCTGGGCTTGGGCCAAGAAAATTTTTTCTAGGTAGCAGGATCCGTGTCTTGACCCTGTTCAGTAAGGTTCATGGGCGGGCCATGTAGCAGAATCGTCCAATTTATAAGAGCACAAGTACAATAACAGCCCGCAAGCGGTCGCACTATCATACTTGAGCCCATATAAACCCGGTAGTCTGTCGAGTACCACGAAGGGTCTCGATTCAACCAACATACAGCCAAGATCGTACATGATTCAACATACATGTCACACGTTACATAAAGTTCACAAATACAATTCCATACATCAGAGTACGATTAAAAGTTATTACAAACCAAGTTCAGGTAAAATAGTAGCAGATGCAAATAGAGTTTGAAACTAACATTTGTCATCATTGTTTAAATATAGTACCAGCTCATGATCACAATCCTACAAAAATATAAGAGAGAGATTAACAAGAGATGCCTTGTTTAGGGCCCTTCTCCTCGTCCACGGCGGAACAAAAGCAATTCTTACAGTAGCCATGATACATCGTACTATCTGCAACAATGGAAAATAAATCCTGAGTATAAGAAGGTACTCAGCTAGACTTACCCGTCATAAACCAAAAATAAAGTGACTCCAAGAATTATGCAATGCTATATAAGTGGAGCTAGCTCAACAACATTTTACATATAAAGCTTACCAATTCAAGTATATAGTTGTAATTCGGTCATCAAGTTAATTATAGCTATTCATCTCTAGATTAACAACTAACCTGTGCCAAATATGTGGTATATCATTTAGTAGCATACCAATAATAACCATAGCCGGTGTAGTAATTCCATGTTCATCATAACCATCATTCCATAATACACTTACTACAATGTTGGGACTAGCCAAGTTTCTCACTGTCCGGGAGAGACGACGATTCAAATCGATTTCAACCAGCTGGGAATTTATTCCTAATACAAACCCAGGCAGATCAGATCAATAGTCACCTTAGGTCACCTTTGGTACAACTCAGGTTCATATTTCGTAGGTTCAATCAGCGCCACACAATCAGGGACGATCAGTTGCTAGGACATTCAGGCTCGGTCTGCCCTTGGGCTCACGTCTGGCTCCCCGCATATCCTTACTGTAACACCCTAGGTGTTAGCCTTGCATAACTTAACTTGCATAGCATGAGCATGATCATCAAGCATTCATATATATGCATTTACCCTTGAAACATTCAATTGAAACATGTGCAACATTTCTTAGTATTTCATGTTTTCATATGAATATACATATGATTATGAGTGTATACATGTGATTGGTTGATATAAGTCACAAAAACATGTTAGCAACACTTAGGTTAGCAAATAGAACATTGTTCATGAATGTCACCTTTCATGATCAAGCACTTAAGTAATGTTACATGTGTTGACCTAGATAGCCCTATGTGTGACCAATGCATGAAATGATTGGGTGACCTTGCAATTAGCTTAAACATGTTTAGTATGTCATCATGAACAACTTTGATATTCATGGCTAGGGCTAAATGAGTCACTAAGTCATAGTTCATGAACAAGTCATCATTTGAATGTAGTATGTTTGACCAAGTTTGAATCATATGCTAGAGACTTTGCATGTATGTGGTCACTAAAGCAAAGTTGTAGTATTTGATAAGGGGAACAACTTTTATTTTTGGGTCATAGACTGGTTTAGCTCCTAACATGCTTGAATTAGGCTCACAAGAATCATCAATTCCCTGTTTTCAACACTTACCAAAATTTGTCTAAGTTATGTGCACTGACAGTTTGGTCGCATCGACTTTGAGATGATAGAACTTGAGATTGGTTGAGATTCAAGGCATGAGTTCTAAACAACAATTGGAGCTAGTACTTCGGGCTTTAACATTGGTTTAGGAAGTTTTAGCTAACAGTCCACGGATTTGGAGAATTCTTTGCTGCAAAACACACTGTCAGGCTGCTCCTCGCGCGACTGAACCGATTGAATCGATGGCTTCGGTGGCCGACCGTCCACAGGCGCTGCCCGCCGCGTGGTGGCCGGTGATGGCCGCGCGCCCCATCT